CCAACCTACCAGAATTTGTAACTTTTCACGTTTCAAAAAGATTTTCCTTTCTGCAACCAATATTTTGAAGATGCTTGTGTAGTGTATTTATCATAGAAATGTAAATGATTGACCATGTCATGTCCTAGCAGCCATCTGCAAGAGCTGAAGGTAAGCATTAGTTTCCACTGTTGTTTCTTCATTCTTGTGTCATGATTTGCTGCAAATTATCTCTGAGTTATGTTCTGCCAAGAAGGTGAATTTGATGGCTGGTTTCTTTCCACTTCTCAGACTCACAATGCATCATCCAGTTAGCCACAGATGACAGGTCCTGAAAAATGCTCAGTGCAGGGTAAGGTCTGGTGAATAACTGTCTAATCAAATAGACTCACACAAAAAAAAAAGGCAAATCAATAATGCCATGTGATTGTTTTTTTTTTTTCTGTATTCTTAGGGGTGGGAGAGCTGCAAATAGCACGTGCTCCTGAAGGAGAGGCACTGGTGTCTGTGCTTTCATCTTTATTACCAGCCAAATCCTTTCCTCCACTGAATCATAGATAGGGAATAATTTTTCTCACAGTCATTGCAGTTTTTCTTTAGCCACTTTGTAGTTCCAGGTTTATCTCTGTATGCATTTAAACTGCTGGCTGTGCACATGAAATCTGTCTTTTAAATCTTTTGCTGCTTCATAGGCTACTTAAATTACTAAATATAAATTTAGCAGTGGTCTGCTGACATAAGACTAATGAGAGATGATTGAAAAACTCAGGCGGCTGTAGGGGTGGCTGGGAAGTTGGAGTGGGGAATGTTCACACTCTCCATAGGAAGAAGGAGCAGTATTTTCATCCACATGAAGGGTCTTTAATGACACTTTAAAGACCGCTTTGAAAATCCAAAGAGAGAATAGTTTCCTGTAGTTTTAGGTAGGCTGCAGTTCAAATATCCACTATTCATCCTACAAGTACTGTTGAAATATTTTTTATGAATTCCAGCTGTGGTGCTAAGAATTTGAAGGGTGCGAGCTGGGGAACGTAGCGTTGGTGTTGGAACAGAATGTGACAGACGGGTGAGACGAAGCAATGGCTCATTAGCGCTTTTCAGCAGCCTCTAAAAGTGCAAGAGGAAACAGATGAATGGGATGGAAAGAACAGCATCCTAGTTCCCTTCAGATGGAGCTTGGGATAATGCTGAGTTTCAGTAAGATTAGTTACAGAAGAGCCCCACTTTGCTTCTTGAGGAAAAGCAGGAATCTATATGTTAAAGGAAATATATTTATTATGTTTTGTTTCATCTGCTTGGCCTAAACACTTTGGGGAGGAGGGGGAGTGATCTGTCTTCAAGGAAAATTAAGGTCAGAAGCTCCATTTTCTCACATTCAGTTCTCGCAGCCAATAGGTACGTGACGATATTTCCAGTCACTTTTAATACAAAGGAGAAGCAGATCTGTAGGAACAATTCTGACTGATCCAAATTAGCTTGGGTTCAAAAAGGCAGGAACACATTCAGAAAGCTCAGGCTGAAGGACCAAATCCTTCGATGCCAGAGTGTGAACCCTGGCTGTGGCTGGGCAAATGCCACGTAAGCATCCCTCTGACTATAGAAGCGCTTGGAACACGGTACAGGAGGAGTGGGGGGAGCAGGGCTTGCTGAGATAGCTTTCTTTCACTAATTAAGCACTTCATAAGGTCTTGGAAAAGATAGTTGTCATGTTTGCATGGCTTGTTCAGTTGCTGGCTTCTCTTGAGGCCACTGAGGATGTTCTAGATCTGTACAACTCCAAGCTATTTAGAACCTGGTCCCTTGTCTTGTTTTCTCTGTGCTTGTTTTATAGACAAACATGTAAGAACTAACAGACCAGAGGTCCAGAAAGCCCAGTCCTGGCCGTGGTCAGCAGCATATGCTGGGGGAGATAAGAACCAGGCACTCCTTTTTCTGAAGTATCCTCCCAGTTCCTGGCAGCTTTTAGTGATGTAGAGACTTCCTGGTGGCACTGGCCAGGTCTCCAAAAAGGATGTAGGTCTGCATGGCTGGAGTCCATCCCTGGGCTCCTGCCAGGCGAGCTTGTGCTTATGAGTCACAAATAAAAAGAAGAACTTTATTGTGTGTACAAAAAAAATAATTTATCTTGGAGAACATAGTACATGAAATATTATAAATAAAAATAAATGGTTCTGTTCAGTGCATGCAAGGACTGAGTATTTAGTCCACTTCTTTGGTTTCCTCAGAAACATACAGTGAGGCAAATTATTCTAACTCAGAGTGATTTTTCATGTATATATTTCGTATTTCTCACAGTTGTACTACGCTTTTTAAATAAATGTACTTAAAAGCGTCTATGTTAAGTGTACAGCTGAATTTGGTTTAGCATTCATGTTCTAAGAAAAGCCTTGGGTTTGTGAGTCTGTACCTGTCCGAATCACGATGAGAATTTTGTAAAGCTTAATAAAATGAAAACTATTTTAATCTGTCATTCTTCTGCAAGGAATTGTCTCCTGCTGGCACATGGGGACTGGTGTTGGACTTGAAGGCAGTATGTGCAGCTTACGCAGCCTTTCTGCTGCTCCCTGAGAGCAGGGCTGGGACTGCCCCAGGGCCTCTTTCTCATCAGTGACTGGTGTGATGAGTCACAGGTTGTCTTGTGTAAACCAAGCTACCTGCCACTTGTTCCCTAAACCATGCTTAAATAAAGGAAAAACAAAACTGCTTTCTGCCTGGGCTGTTCTGTGTGCTGTAGTGTGGTAATGCTGGGAGAATCAAGCCACTCGTTTGCTGTCCTCAGCTGGGTGGTGGGGAATGGACTCTCATTTCTGAAATTGGAAGCAGATAAACTTTGTAGATGTGCATTTGTTCTTAGGTAGGCACACTCATTTTGGACCAGAGACATTAGTGACACAGAACAGATTTGTACCATGACTGGCGTTGACCTAAGTACAGCTGTGCTGTTGAGTTTCTGTCCACTGGTAGCTGAGCTGGTGCTCCTGGGGCCAAAGGGTCTTGAGTAAGGAAGAGGGGCTTCTTGTCTCTAGTGGCAGAGTCTGAGCTGTGCATATCAACCTCTCTAGAAGTTCTTAACACCTGGTAGATTTAGAATAGATAGAAGAAAGAAAGTGTTGACACTGAGGCAGGTGAGCCCCTGGTCCGGGTTGCCCAGAGAGGTGGTCACTTCCCCATTCCAGGTGAGGTTGGCCGGGGCTCTGAGCAACCTGCTCTAGTTGCAGATGTCCCTGTTCCCTGCAGGGGGGTTGCACTAAATGACCTTGAAAGATTCCTTCTAATTCAAACCATTCTGTGATTCTTATATACAAAGAATATGTATAATCTTGTATGTATTTCACATGTATAGAATACTGAGCTTTTATTTAGGTGAGACCAAAATTTTAAGGAAGTATCTTGGATTTTTCTGTCATGTGTGCTTCTGAACCAATAAATTTTGAATCAGTTATGAGTTAAATGCAAAGCTGATGACTTCCAGAGTGACTGCTTACCCAGTGTGAATATAGTTCACAGCTTTGGGGCTCTTTCAGTGGGAACTTGACCAGTTGGTGCTGTTTACAAAGTAGGAGCTGGAGCCTTTGTTCAGCACCAGGTTGTTGGCCAGGCAGCTGGGGAGGATGCAGGCTGGGTGCCTGAATCCCTGAACCGCAGTTCTGGGCGGATTCCCTGCCCAGTGTTTTGCAGACACTATGGGCTGTGTCTGTGGGAATCCATCCAAGTAAGGATGGATCACCATCCAAGGAAAGCATCCCCAGCGTTGGTTCTTTTTCTTTGGTTCTTCACATCTTGTCTTTGTACATGTTCTGTGCTCTGTCCTTACCACAACAGAGTCTCACATTGTGGAGAGTATGATGCTGCTGAAACTCGGAGGTGTAGGGGAGGCAGCCGCTGCCCTTACCCCCCGTTCTCCCATTTTGGAGACAGGGCTGGTCGCATGTGCTGCCTGAAAGGTTGCTGTCAGCTTTATGACCGTGGTAAGATCCACTGTGCATCACCCAGATAAGTACAATCAAACATGAATGCCTCCGAGATGGATTTGAACTGGAGATTGTTTAAAAAATGGTACTTCTTAGAGCTTCAGAATGAGTATCAGTATTACTGAGGGTGAATCCTTTTTTTGTAGGTTTTGCATATTTTGCAAGAAGCTTTGTTTTCATTACTGGAGAACATTTTTACATAAACATTTAAATATATCTTCCTTTATTCAGCAAGTTCTCAGCATAAATTTCCATTTGTATCACCATTCTCCTTATTAGTTTCCTCTTTTTAAAAAACGTTTTTCACACTTGATTGAAATCTGTATTATTCAGTCTCTATGGGCATGGGTCTGATCCCTCAGACTTCCTGCTTACCAGCTCCCTTTGACTTTGTGGGAACTCTCACTAGAAGGGACTAGCAGAAACCAGCCATATAATTGAATCCATCTACTCCCTCATGAAAAACTCCTGTCCAATGCTCAGTCATTATGAAAACTTCTCAAAACAGAGGAAAAGAAACAGTGCTGGAAGAGACCACCCAGAGCACTAGAACCAAAGTAAGCATTATCCCTCTCCTTTGCCTTTATTCTAGAACTTGTGTCCATACTCCCACATCTAGGAAGAGGAAAGAAGACCACAGTAGATAATAATTACCAGACATCTTCTTTATAAAAAGAAAAAAAAAAAATCAGAAAGATACATTTGTGGAAAACTCTGTAGCAGCCATCCCCATGCAAAGGGCACTCTCTCTCCCTCCCTTTTTTGTGGTGTCGGTCTACAGCAATTTGATCTTAAACTGTTTTAACAAAGCAGTCGCATTGCAGGAGAACTTGCTTTTGTCAGTGTTACATTGCTGGCACATGTTCTGTCTAACATCTGCCTGGTGTGTGAAGCCGAAGTTTCTCCTTTTCCTGTAGGCGTTCAGAGCCTTTTACTTCACACAGCAATGTCAGGGTGAATCATAGAATCACTGTGGTTGGAAAAGACCTCTAGGATCATCAAGTCCAACCTTCATCCCAACATCTTCCTAACCACTAGACCGTATGGACCATGAAGGTCAGGAAATTAAAGTTGAATTCCTTGGCTTTGGAGAAGCATACAGAACAATACATCGCTGAAGAATACCCAGTTGAAGAAACTAAAGTAAATGAAAGTAACTGGGGGTGGTCTTATCTGAACTCTGTTGACTTGGCCACTTCCCATTCCTGGAGAAGGCAAAGATGCAGCAAATGTTGCAGCTCAGTCTGGTGTCCGTTGTGTGAGGGTTTGGAGGCATATAACAGGACTTAGATAACATAGTGAATGCATGGCTTTGATTACAGTGGGAGTTGGTCAGAGAGGGCTTTAAAACCCTCTCTGACCAGAAAAGAAGAAGAGAAGAAGTTTTGGCAAGAAGGCTGTCACACAAACACGGGTTTTAAATAGTTGTAAGCTGTCAATGATTTATCTCTGTTCAACAGTAAGCATGGACACTCAGTGGCTCTTTCCCAGGGAACTGAGGGGAAATGCGGTTGGCTTTCCAGGCACAACACTGAAACAGTGAAAAATTACTGGAGGGTTAGAAACCACTGGTTCCCAGTGGTTTTGACAAGTAGTTAAGCTGCCCTCACCATTTATTGTGGTTGTGCACTACCATCAGACTTTGGGCACTGTTGACAGTGGCTCTGTGGAAGAGCTTCAGGGCACCTAACATCGATCTGAAGAGCACAGTCAAACCAAAGCACCTGAGGACTTGGTATCACAGGAGTAGTAGGGTTAAATAGGGTTAAATGTAGGGTACCAGTTTATTTACTAAATATTATTTGAGATGTAGTCAGCACCCAGTACACCAGGACAGGGGTGCAGCCACGGAGAGCTGGGAATGTCCCCTGATGCCAGGACTTGGAATAAGCTCTGTGCACCATTCTCCTTTGTTAAAAGGCTTTGTTTTTTTTTCTTGACTATCCACTTAGACCCTTCTATTTGCTCGTAAACTCGTAGACTCTGATGTGAATGAGCATGGAAGCTGTTTCAGTGGTGAACAATTGGGGATGTGGCAATGTCTGTGAACAGCTGCAAAAAGGAGCCCAGGACAGGGGTGGTAGTTTTTGTAGAGGCAACTTTGATTTCAGGTCATTCTTAGGTTTTCTCGAAAGGCAGGTCTCCTTGTTCATGAGCATATTTAGATATGATCAATAGGATGAGAATCAGATTAAGGTGTGTGCTGTTATATCGGTTTACAGGGCTTTGAATTGTGAAGTTACGACTATGCTTAGGATTTATAAACCCAAGGATAATATTATAAATTAAAATAGTTAAAACTAGGTGAGATTTCTTTGATATATAACTGTTTAGGAAGTTTGAATTATTTGTTACTGTGTTCTTTGAGACAAAATGGTACAGATGAAAAGAACTGGGATATATACTGGAAAACAGGCAGTGGCTGATTGAAAGTGATGGGTGGTGTGTTCTGAAAGAAAACATTTAGCTTCCAGCCTCTGAGACAAAATACAGAGTACCATGAAGTCAGTGCCAATGTTTTCTATCAAGTAGCATTAGCAGGTTATTTTCGGGTCTGCCTTCCTGAATGCTTTAGCTCTCAGCATTATGTACAAACAGTATGATTTAAAGCATTCTGTATTTACATTTAGATGAATTTGATGTTTCCTGGTAAGATAAAACAAGGCCAAACAAACAAAAAACAGCTTCTTGCTCTAAATCCAGTCTCTGCTACTGTGGGAATAGAAACTGGAAGGCTGTTCTGAAGCGTACAGCGGTGCAGCAGCATTCCAAGCTTCTCAATAAGATTCATTTGTTATTCTTAAGAAAATAGAAACAGCTGGCTGATTTGGTTTGTAAGCAGTGAAAAATCAATTCAACTATTACAAATCATTTTGCTCAGAGGTGGTGCTGTGATGTGCTGCTTTGCCTGTTTGAGGTGGGACTGCAGAGCTACGCGTCTGAGATGCAAATAAAATACAGTATGTATGAAAGTGAATTATCTTATTATAAATATAGGCCTGAAACCCATGTTTTTGTTTTCAGATTTAACAAATCAAGTAGAGACAGCTAAAATGAAGCTGCAGAAAATGACGGGCGAGATGGACCACTACAAAAAGCTGTTAATGTAAGAGAGTGCTGCTTGTCATGATCATTTGAGAAATCTATGACCAACAGAGAAAATATTTTCTCTTCCTATGAAATGATCTGTGTTTCTGACCCCCTGGCTGAGCAGGTCTGGAAGCTGGATTTCATTCCTCCAGCTGGGTTTAGTGGTACAGCAAAGAGAAGGGTTCAGTCAGCTCAATCCTACACTTTATTTCACATCCAAGTGCAGGATACTTCTTGTGAAATCCACATAACCTAAAAATGCACGTGGAAAGCAGTGCTTCATTTTTTCCCTTTGGGATGGAGGGGAGGTAGCAAAGAAACTAGTCAGAAACTTTAGTATCGAATCAGTGACTAGGATTTCTTTTTTTATTCACCCCCCAAATGTAAATTTGTGACTTTTCCCCACACACCAGCACGCTGTTGTGGTTTGTCATTGTACTGTCTTGTGCCTGTGGCTTGAAGTAGGAATATGCAAACTCTAAATTAAGAGAGCAAAAATAGAATGTCACCAAAACCAGAATGTCATCAAATACGTGTCAGAACTCACTGAAGCACAGTGACTGAAAGGAGAGTGCTCAGAGGGAGAAACTCGGCTCGCTCCATCTCCAGCCCACCCCAAAACTGCTCTGCTTCAGCTGCTGTTGCCCGCAGATTAAGGGGGGAGCAGAAATTAGTCAAAACCTGAGGAAATAAGAAAAAAGGTGCTCCTCTTCTTCAGCATCATTGTGCCATTACACCCCATTCTCCTGGGTTAGTTCTGATCATTCAGGAACAACAGCACTTTATACATCATTTTGTAACACTTGAAAACTCACTACTGAAAATAAAATTTCCTAATTCAAATATTAAGCTCAAGAGTAACAAACTACTAGTGCCAGTCCTGAGACCAGCTGTCATCAGTCATTTTGTGTGTTTGCCTGGAATTTAAACCAGGATTCAGTCTTGTGTGATGTGTACTTTAAGGTTTTGGTTCCTATATTCAACGTGTTTGATCGTAACAAAGTTGCAAATATTTGGAATGCTTAGCAACAAAGTATTTTAATGATAATACAAGTTTTGAGTCCGAAAAAAAAGGATTTCATGAACACAGTTAAACAAACAGTGAAGGGTTTCCAAATGTAATATTAAAATCTCAATGTAATGTGGGTAAAATTTAATAAAGTAACGTATTCTGTGTCTGTTTAAATGTAAATATGAAGCTTAACCATGGTTATTAATTGGTGAAATGATGACACAATGACAAGGAGCCTGCAAAATTTCCAGCCCTCTTACCTACTAAATTACTATTTCTTCATTTTCATTCATATCTTGAAACTTCCATCAGCATTGCGATATCTCATGTTCCTGTTTGCAACATTAAACTTGTGATCCTGGGTTAGGCTGAGATTACACTGGGAGCGTCACTTCAAACTGCTTAAAAATGTTAGCTAGGACGGAAAGGACTTTTTGTTGGCCTTTGCTTTTCAGCTGAAATAGAAAATGCAAGTTAGACGAGACATCATTAAATGATGTTCAGGTTACTGCATGAGTCAAGGCAATTGTTTCCTTGGACAATACACTTCTTAAAATGTTATCTTAGGGTGAAATCAACAGAACTTGATGTCTGTCAAAATGAGCTGAAAAAAATGAAATACGAAAATGGAATTTCTGAGTCGAGATAAATGCTGAAACTATTTCATAGCATGCATTTGGGAGCAGTGAGAGCAAAAATGTTATTATTTTAATGCGGATTTCATACAATCATTTTGGGTGTATTCACACAATACTTATGTGTTCGAGTCACTAGATTTAACTATTTAAAGAAACACGGGTTTGTCTAATATTTTCTAGGCACAAATTATTTGTCTATTTTATGATTTTTATGCTGTTTTTCTTACAGTCCTTTTGTGTTTATTTATACAGTATTTTTGTGTTCAAGGCACAAGATTCATCTTCATGAAGAATACATAAGGAGTTCGTCTAGTATTTTATTTTCATGGTACAATTTCTGTCTATTTAGTTTGTCTGTAAATAAGAATATAGTAAATATGACACTTTTTGATTTCATCTGTAGACTTGTGAAAGAGCTGAAGGAGAAGGAGGAATCTCTTCAAAACTGCCAGCAAGTATGCAAACATTTACAGGAAGAGCTGGCTGAGAAAGAGAGGAAAGAAGAAGATCTGAAAAGAAAAAACAGTCGATCAGAAAGCGAGCTGGAAGCACTTAAAGCTCTTCTTACACAATCAGAGGAAGAGGTGGTGATGTTGAAACACGAAAGGTAATGGGAGTGGAGGCACCACGGGCTCACCAGGATGAGGGGCGTGGCTTTGGCACCGGGCACACTGGGAGAGACCTGCTGTTCCCAGCTCTGTGTTTTGAAGTCTCTGCCTTGCCTGTGTTCTTGGGACAGTCCTGCCCTGCTGCTGCCCTCTCTCATCTCCTCCTTTTAGGGTCAGACTCTAAAAGCCATGGCAGTCCTGAGCTCATATCATGAATTTTTGGAATTCACAGGATGGATTTTTAAAAAATTCTTAACAGTATTAACAAAACTAGAATGAAAAAGGAAAAAAAAAAGGCAAAAAGCCTATAAACCAAAAGAGGTGAGAAGAGAGTCCTTGCTTTGTGCTGCTGTTTGTTATGTGAGGCTTTTAGAGCGAGAGCCCTGGAGAGTTTAAATTCCTGTAACTTGTGTTATTAGCAACTTGAAAACCGTAACAGTGCTGTAAATATTTCAAAGTGACAGGTTATTGGATGTGCTCTAGGATTTGGTGAAGCGCATGGACAACCCGCCAGGCTAGTCTTACTTTGAAGGTTGTCAGATACCAATGAGGTTTCCATTTCCCTCTAATTATTTTTCGGGAGCAGAACATAAAGCCCTGAGCTGCTGAGGGCTGTCTTCCCCAGAATGGTGTCTGGTTTGCATGCCTTCCTTTCAGACTTACCAACCTAAATCCACTCCTTTAAATCTTGCTTTGAGTGTAATCTGCATATCCAGGTTTATTCCCAACAATCACTGGCAAAATAGAAAGTGCTGTCTCCTACTTAAGACATGGCAGTCGTTATTTGTTTGATTTGTGTGCAAATGAAAAAATGCCTTCAGAAAAGTGGCTGTTGGAGCAGATAAGCATTTTCTGAGTGATGTACACCAAGAGGCATTAAACTATTTTCATATTTAAAGGCTTTGAATATTCTCTGTACTTCATTCCCTGCATGAAAAGATATTGCATGTTAATTTAAGACTATTTCCCTTCTACTTAAACCCTAGATATGTGAGTTACTCCAGTTGGTACCTTGCTAATAATCTACATTACAAGAATTTAAACTCTCCAGGGCTCCTGCTCTACAAGCCCCACATAACAAGCAGTAACTCTAACGATAGAAAGCACTCGGTGGTTTTAATTCAAAACCTAGTACAGTTTTTTAATTAATGATAGCAATATTCTGAGTTCATTATATACACCAGTTCCTCTCTTGAATATTGTAACAGCTTTTCAGTGTTCTTCAAAATTTGACTTGAGAACTATGAAAAATATTTGAGGTTTAAATAGGGGTGTGTGTGGAAGAAAGAGCAACTGTAATATTTCCTTTAAAACATAAAATTCATAGAGCAGGTGACGGCATTATGCAAATGCTAAGTAGTGATTAGCGCTGTGCCTCCGGGCTCCAGGCAGGGTTCCGGGGCTGGCTGCACAGAATACTAAACAAAAAGGAAAAGACAAGCCTGTGCCACAGAGGGTTTCGTTGCAGGAAAATGGTAAAGCACGGACCTGGGCAGAGCACCTACTTACATCTGAGTCTTTGTGCTTTCTAGGGAGTTGATGCTGATTTCACATCAGAAAAGTACAGAGCAGCTGCAGGAGACATTAAGGCAAAAGATGCAGAATGAAGAAAACTGGAAGGAGAGGGTAATGGTGGATGTGCACGTGGCACCTTTTGGATTTCTTTGTTTCTTGATTTTTTTTTTTCAGTTGTAGCTAGCTGTCATGAGTGAGTACAGTGAGGCAGAACCCCATCTCCTCAAGTGCCCACATGTCAAAAGTAATCTTAGCAGCAGAGGTTTTAGTAGGATATATCTCCACATAGGCTGGGAGTGAATGCAAAATGTGTTTGGTATGAGTGTTTAGAGCACCACATCTCCACAGCTTGGAAACCCCTCCAGGGATGGGGACTCCACCACTGCCCTGGGCAGCCTGGCACAGCCCTGGACAACCCTCAAGGGGAAGAAATAGTTCCTCAGCTCCAACCAAAACCTCCCCTCGTGCAACTTGAGGCTGTTTCCTCTTGTCCTGTCTCTTGTTCCCTGGGAGAAGAGCCCAACCCGCACCTGGCTCCAGCCTCCTGTCAGGGAGCTGTGGAGAGCCAGAAGGTCTCCCCTGAGCCTGCTTTGCTCCAGGCTCAGCACCCCCAGGTCCCTCAGCTGCTCCTCACCACACTTGGGCTCTAGACCCTTCCCCAGCTTTGTTGCCCTTCTCTGGCCACACTCCAGTCCCTCAAGGTCCTTGGAGTGAGAGGCTCAAAAGTGACCCCAGGATTCGAGGTAGAGCCTCACCAGTGTTAAGTCCAGGGGGACAATCCCTGGCGTGGTCCTTCTGGCCACAGTAGTGCTGACACAAGCCAGGATGCTGGTGGCAGCCTTGGCCACCTGGGCAAACACTGGCTCATCTCCAGCCAGCTGTCAACCAACACCCCCATGTCTGTTTCTGCTGGGCAGCTTTCCAGCTGCTGTGAAGTTCTGAGCTGGAGACTCTTAACTGGGATTGGAGAGTCCAGCTGTCTCTTCCAGTTGGATTTGGAAAGCTGTTTATCATAAAAAAATTGTGAGCATGTGAACTTTGTTTTATCCTGCAGGTTTTTCGCATAAGCATCAAAAAACCCCCAATCTGAATAGAAGAATTGGGGGGGTATACGGGGGGGGTAAGAAAGAAGAGAACCCTGTGAAGGAAAAATTGAAGACAGTGTTGAACAATAACGTTGACTTTTCTGATTTAAGCCTTAGATAATTGGTGACTAAAATTACAGTCTTTGTCTTTTTTGGTTCAGTATGTGATAAGTGTCTGAACGCTTTATTTAGTCTTAGGGAAATTTTGAACTCCTAGCAATTAAGATCAGTTACATTTCTTTTAAACCTTCCTTAACCTCTCTGTGGCAGGATATAATTTTAGAATGAGGTCACACTGTCTGGATAATCACAGTGTGTTGTTCAGCCTGACATTAAAACAAGATAAAGGCTGCTGCTAGAGAGAGCAATTACAGCTTTGGTCTCATGGCCAGTAAAATGCACTGAATGGCAAGTGCTCCAAAAATGTTCTCATCAAAAAGCATCAGCAATGTGACCAAGTGACAGAGTTGTCTCTTTCTTGGGTCAGTGTGCCATGGCATAAGTGTAAAGTGTTCCTGTTTTCTGTTTAAAAGATAAACCTTAAATGGTTTTAATGGAACAAATGGAAAAAAAAAAAAAAATCTCTTTTACAAGAGGTTTTGATTTATGGATTTTAAAAATATATTAATTAATGAGAGGCATGTGAATGGGTTTAAAGCAATTAGTAGTGATTATGCTTTCTTTGAAGATCAGCTGCCATTTTATTTCCTGCTCTGGTTATCGGCTTTATTGGCTTCAGGTGTTAAATGTGAAAAATACTTTTCTAATCTTCAAAAACAGCTCAGTTTTTTATACTGCCTTTAGTTTTTTAGTCTTTGTAATCCAGTAGCCTCCAACATGGGATCTGCTTCTGTAATAGACTTAATAATTTGTTTTTCTACTATGAGAATCCCAACTCCCATATCTAATAATGTAGAAGATATATCAATAATAATAATATTAATAATAATAATAGCCTACTTTGAGGATTTTACAAATATACCAGTTTCAAGCTAACCCTTAGTAGGGGATTCATGCCTGTTCCATGCCCAGAATTGGGTATATTCTGATTTTAAAAATAAACTGGGAATATTTCCAGTTTGTCTTTTTCCCCCCCCAAAGTGTCAGGGGGATTTGTCAGACTTGCTCCTAATTAGTGTGTGAAATTAGATAGTTGTAATTAAGCTCATTCTAGGCTTTTCTGCTTTTAATAATTTTAAGTAATTAGGCTAGTGTTGTGCATGTTTAATGATGTGCCTTTCATATTCTTCCAGCATACTGCAGTTAAGTCGATTTGAATTCAGCCTGCAGAAATACAATATTAGCATAGTGGTTTAGGGAAAACATTTTTCAAACTACAGCCCTTCAGTATTTCCTCCAGAATCCAGGCTTTTCTTTTCAAGAAACTATGGCTGAATTTTCAAATTTGGATTGAAAATATTAAATATGTGAGGTGCCTTAAAGACTGGGATATTTTACCCAGAATTTGCAATTTTTTTACTTTAATTGCTCCATGATTTTTTGTCCAGAGTTGCAAACGTTTTATATAGAATCATAGAATGCCTCTGAGTTGGAAGGGACCTCATTATGTTGAGTTTTTATTCCATAACAAGGCTGAGTGGCAGAGCATGAATAAAAAATGATTTTATAAGAAAGAGTTAACATCTTTATACTTTAATATCAAGTTAATAGGCTATTTCTAGTACAGCAGATGCCATTTATTGTGAAATATATAGTTTTGTTGCATTGGAAAATAATAAAAAGCTGAGTTTTACCTCCAGAGGAGGTAACCTGCCAGTTGATAAGTAGGACAGTGTGGGATGTGAAAACTATAGTAAGAAGAGTTGCTGTGTATCATTAGAAAATGGCCTAAAGTTCCACCAGGGGAGGGTCAGGTTGGACATGAGAAAAATTTCTTCCTCAATAGCAAAGTGGTGGAGTCCCCACCCCTGGAGGGGTTTCCAAGCCGTGGAGATATGGTGCTGAGGGACATGGGTCAGTGGGGACCTGGCTGTGCTAGGGAACAGTTGGACTCAGTGATCTGAAAGGTCTCTTCCAACCAGAACAACTCTATGATCGAAAACTACTTTGTTCCATAGGTAGAGACAGAGCTGGCTAAAGCTGAAGCACAACACATCAAAGCAATCCTTAAAGTCAAAGAAGAAGTTAAAGTGGAACTAGACACTGAGAGACAAAAACAGAAAGAACTAATCACAAAATGTCAGCAAGAATATGAAGAGCTCCAGAAGATGGTGTGTAACACTCAAGAGAAAGATTTTGTGGCATTTAACTATTCTAGTTAAAGTTAAATGATGTGGAAGTTTCCTTTTCTCACGTATTCTCTACCCACAGTTCATATATGTCCACAGATTGTAGTTGCTAATTATTTTTAAACTTACATCATTATTTTTTAAAAGCTTTGGACTGTTTCAGACTATGACAAGTTGTCACAAAACCACCCACAATGGTGTCTGCCTTCCCAAATTATTTCAACACCGATGGGGTCAAGGTCCCGTGGCCAGTTAACTGCTTTCTACTCTGTACATCACACACAGTTGGCATTTCCCAGCTACCCAGACCTACAGGTTTTGGAATTTTATATAGAAATTGAAGGATTTACCCATAGCCTTAGTTTTCAGGAGATTTGACGCATTTCTTTAGAATTCTTGAAAAATAAAATTCATACGATGAAATTATATTGTTATTTAAAATTCATTACATTGCACAGTGTTTTGGGGAGCTGGAAATACCAGTTTGGCTTAGTTCACTTTACAAAGATTTGACTATGATTTTAAACCCCTGACGAGATACTAGCTTGCAGTAAAGAAGTTAAGATTTCCCATTTTTTACCTCTTTTTTTGATCTTGGGTGCACCGAGTACTCTCTCTGTTCTTAGTGAGTTTTGATTCATTTACAACTCTCTGATATCCTTTGAGGATATTATGTAAATGCAAAGCTTTTTTTATGTCTCTGAGGGCATGTATGTTTGCATTTGTATTTTTTTTTCCTGAAGTCAACATTTGTCTGATAATTAATTCTACAGATCTAACGATAGCCACTGAATGTAGATTAATGCAATTTTTTCTAATCTAATGCAGATACCAGGATTAATATCCAGTGCCACCAACAGCTTAAGGATGGAGACAGAAACTCTTGAAAAGAAGCTCCAAGAAGCCCAGACCAAACTTGCAGAGAAAGATGAAAGAAAGGAAATTCAGAGCCTTAAAAGACAGATTTCTGAACTTGAATTTCAGCTGACTCTGGAAAAGAACAAAAATGAATCATTTCTCGCTGATATGAGGGAAGAAATAAAACACAGGTCAGATGAACTGGAAAAATTAACCCAGGAGAGGACACAGCTGATTCACAATTTGAATGAAGCTCAAGAGGAGGTAAGAACATGACCAAGAAAATGCCTTGCTATTTTTGCTTACACATGTGATTTCTGGAATCATTCAAGGCATCTCTGTTTCACACCTGATTTTGTACTGGTTTAAGAACCACTGAAATGAAAAGATTTATAAAACATGCCCATCATGATTTCATAAATACGATCTATCACAACATGTGCTATATTTTTAATCCAGCAAGCACTTAAACTGTTGCTTTTTTTTTTAAAGAATATTTTTAAGGTTCTGCAAGACATTTATTTCTTTGTCTCTTGTCTCACATCACACTACATAAACACAATTAAATGAGAAAATATTCTTCATGGTTTTGAAGTTGAAGACATTCTTTGAACCAGACAGGAGCAGTCCTCCCACTAATCTTATGCATTTTGGAAACCATTTGTAAGAAAAGCCATTGTACCAGCCAAAGGAATGAGGGTGGACACAGTCCTGTCCTGAGTGGCTTCTTCTGGGGCAGAGGTTGAGATTTAATGTGGGAGGGGGTTGTGTCCCACCTCCTGCCAGTAAAACCCAATTTCTAGTAACACCGAAATAACAGAAAGAATTAGTCAAATGTGAAGACAAATGTGACTGATAGATGTTCTTACCACAGGCATTTGCTGAATATTTGGAATATAATGGAAAGGGAGGAGAGCAAGTTGTACTGCTCCATGAGAAATGTGAAAGTCAGGGACTGTAGATAAGATTAGACTGGAATGTCCAAAGTAATTAAGTGGCGGTAATGAAATAGGTAAACAGTGGAAATTAAACTCTTCAACATGAATTAGGGCTTGGACTGATATTTATTTATTCCTTGAAAAAGGTTCAGAAACACTGTGTTAGAGAAATTAGAATGATGTTGGCAGTCATTGCGTCCCGTACAGATAGAAGAGGCTCTTGGAAAGACAAGCCCGCTTCAAGTAGTGGTCAGGAACTGCAGCAGAGCGAGGACCACACTGTTATCTTTGACCGTGAGATTCCACCAGCTCTGCTTATGTTTTTAGTTTGCCCCACTTGGAAACAAGTGAAGGAAATGAAGAAGAGCAGAGGCAACTTCTGATCGCTTCCCTCAGGCGTCCTGGTGTCTCCTGAGAGGATCAGGGGTGTGTCAACACTGCTGTGTGTCCTTTGGGCGCCTTTCAGAGAACCTGAGATACGGGGAAGTCCTGAAGGGTCTGTGGGCTCCCCGGGGCCCTGGTGTAAAGGCAGCGTCTGTTTCTGTTTGCAGAACTTTCTCCTCCAGGAAGCGGTGTGCAGAGAGCGCGAGGAGCGCTGCGAGCTGACAGCGGCTTTGACCCGAGCCAGGGAGGAGTTGCTGGAACTGAAAAAGCTGAGCAGATACCTCC